GAGCTGGAAGACTGGTTAAAGGTATGAGCGTGTGATTGACCTGATGGCGAAAATCCCGACTGATCTGCATGTGGAGAACCAAATTTCCCAACATATGACATCTGTCTGAAAACATTGTTCATCTGAGGGAAGAAAAAAAAATGTTAACTGCAAGGACTTAACAGCAAAGCCAATGTATCATTTAGTCAGTCAATGATACATAGAATAAAGGAAAATCAAAATCACCCTTGCCCAGATGCATCCCAAGCTGAATGTAATTAAATGTGGCCCAATACCAAAGTTTCATTCATCTTGAATGTCTACTTAAAGATACTTGAACAAAAATACTCCTTCCTTTCAAGAATATAAAAGACATCACTCAATATGACCATACTATGAATCACTGTAAGAACACATGAAGAACTAGACCCTCACTAGGAAAATCTTTGTGAAGGTGGCATACAATCTGAGTGCTAAGAAACTGATCAAAAAGAGACCATTTGCTTGGCATTGGTAGCCCACGCCTTTAATCCCAGCACTGGGAGGCAGAGCCAGGCAGATCTCTGTGAGCTCAGGGCCAGCCTGGGCTACAGAGTGAGATCTAGGGCAGGAACCAAACTACACAAAGAAAACCTGTCTCGAAAAACAAACAAACAAACAGAAACCATTTCAGAGGAGAAAGAAGCACATAGCAGAATCCAGAATGGGCTCTGAGAAAGACAGCTACAGCAGCAGAATAGGTCCTGCATCTTAGAAGCTGTTAAGGGTTGGTAACAAAAGCTGTTCATAGTGGTGCACACCTTCAAACCCAGCACTCTGGAGGCAGAGGCGAGTATAGCTCTGTGAGTTCAAGGGCAGCCTGGTCTACAGAGTGAGACTATCTCAAAAAAGAAAAGAAACATCAAAACACAGCTGATTTGAGTTTTAGGGTAGGTCTCATGGTATTACAAAAACTACTTCAGGTAAGTTGATCTAGAAGATACATGTTAAATTATTAAAACTGTAATGATCATGTTAGTCTAAATATTTGACACAGTATTAAGAATTAAAATAAAGGACATAAAGTAATAAAACTGACTGAGAAGTGAAAAGTTATCTGATGTAACAGAAATACTTTAACCCAAGTCTTAGCAACTCAACTGGGGGAGGGGGGGGAAACCTACTACTGCTTGCCGCTGATAATCTTCTGGAGAAGAGAAGGACCTCTGAACCATCTGCGCTGATGGAGTCACGTTACCCACAGTCCTTTCATAGCTGTAAAGAGAAAGCAAGAATGATGAGTGGTCATCCTTCAACAAATACTCAACACCAGTCACTAGTGCGGCAGTTCTCAATGATGAAAATGATTAAGACAAGCACAGCTGTTCCTATGTGTTGGATGACTGAAACAGCTGGAGGAAAGGGCAGTCTACTTTAGGTTGGCTGATCAGGACAGCCTTTCTGAAATGGAGACATTTAAAGTAAAAAGTGAGGAATGTGATTATCTGGAGGCAGAACAGGTCCTAACTGTGGGAAAGGCTAGTTAGAGAAGTCAAACTAGGAGCCTAGGAGCAAAACACAGTTCTGAACATGATGTTTTCTGGGAACACGGCAACTTTCCTCTTGCGTAACTATGGCTACCTTTACCGATATAACTGCAGACAGAGACAGCAGGGCAATGTATTGGTCCTAAGCTAATGCCATCGTTCAGAGATTTTATCACCTAGCTATAAATGATATAAATTTTAACTTGAGCAATTAGGTAGATATTTCTGAGACATTAAATTGAAAAGGTTTGGACAATTAACCATGTTTCCTCATCTTAGGGTTGATTAGAGTGGAGGTAGGAAAAAACAAGGGGCTCTCCTTTAGCTTTTCTGGGGGTCTCAGAGGAGATCGTGTGTCCAGATTCTAAGAGGGGCAAAAGTACAATTTACTTTATGCCAGCAGCGTATTAAAATAATCCACCCTAGCCTGTGATTAAAGTTAAAATAAGTGATTAGTATACTTACTCAACCCTCCCAAGAAACTCTAAGGGGGAGATCTTTGTTCCACTTAGGATACCTTTGACTGTTTTATGGAAGTGGCTGAAGAGAACATTTTGAGTGCCAACTGACAAGTGTTTACACCACTAATTGACTTCAGCTGGCAAAAAAGGTCACAGGGAGATCAATGTTTTTGTACCATTGCTTTTTATCATTCCTCCTTCCAACATTTCTCTTCAAAGCAGCCATCCAATTCTCTCTGGCTTTGGCAATGCCTTAATCCAAACCAACTTTGATCCAACAGTCCCACATGGTCACTTGCCAATAGCTTCCTAATTGGTATTTCTTTCACTGTGTCTCTTCTAACACATTCTTCTCCCACGGCAACCAAGTAACTCTTTAAACTTTGAACTTTGTATCATCATTGTACTTAAACTATTTTAATGCTTTCTTCCTGTTTAGGATAAAATCCCCCCCAAACTTGATTGTAGCACTATGAGATGCTTACTTAGCTCTTATGTACTTCATCAAAATTCCCTACTGCCTTCATTGCACTGGCTTCTTTTAGTTCCTCATCCATCTGCATCATCTCCTGCTGTTAAAACTCTCTCAAAGCACTTTCTACATCTCTAGAGAACTAATTATAGTAATTAAGCAAGTAGCCACAAAGTACATGTGTTCATCTCAATTTGAAGCTCCACTTGGCAGTGTACCATACTGTGGCTTGATCATACCAACCAGGTTTAACTTCACACACTGCTTGCACACAGCTCAAATTTGGGCAAGTTAGCCAAAATTAACTTTCTGCACTCAAAGTAGAGACAGATAAATCCTACTTCATAGGTGCTTCGAGCAGTAACTGACGTCATACATGGAAAGGATTTGGTGAAGCATCTAAAACAAACTGAGTTAAGTAAAGACAGGACTATCTCTAACCTTCAGTAGCTACAGGGATTTCAGAGACCATTTTATTCAACTTTCTTTCCTCAAAGGATAGGACCAAGAGAAATGAGCCTAATGACTGTACAATTGGCAAAGGTAGATTTACACTCCAGTTCTATTAACTCAGCCCAGTAGTCAATATTCACTAATCAGTACTTTTAAACAGCAAGGGAAAAAAAATTATCAGGGATAAAGTTACTATAAAGTTAATATAACCTTTAAAAGATGGGGGGTGGGTGGGGGTGCACAGTATACTGCCATTAGGGTAAATATTTTTTGTTTCAATTCCTGTCTTTAACACATATGACTACAGTTGTATTTTATTTAGTGCAAAAGAACCAGTCAATCGTGCACTGAGGTCATTACCTCCGAAACTCTCTGATAAATGACTTTAATAGTGAGTGAGAAACAGTACCTGTTAGGAGATGTGGAGGTGGGGCTTAAATTTCCAACATGATGCTGGGGATATGACACACTGGCATCCTGAGAGGCGTGACTACTTCCTAAAATGAGGTAATTTCAAAAATTCTAATTGAAAACCAAAGAGTCCAACAATTTGAAATGTCTCCTCCAGTCTAAATTACCCACAAGAGACAAATAGCTTAAAAGCAACACCAACCCCCCTCAAACTAAAACAAAACAAACCACCACTAAAATTGTTATAGACTACCTCACAGGTTTTTAAGTAAGTAATAGCAGAAAAAGAAAGCATTCCAAACAAGATACTACTTAAAGCAGAAACAGCCAATCTGGCAACGGTATTCTGATACCCATCCTATAATGTATGACTGGATGAGTTGAAAGCTTTATCTTATCCTCACAGAAGAGGAGCAACAAAATCAGTATTTGTAAATCACAAAGCACCCTGGGAAATAGCAAAATTTCAAGTATTTTCATCACTAACTCCCTATTCCCAATCTTTAAAACAAAAGTCTGGTACGGAGTCAACAACCACAATCCCAGCACTTGGGGGTAGAAGCAGGAGGACCAAGAGTTCAAGGCCAGACTTGGCTACACAGTGAGTTCGAAGTTAGCCTAGAATACCTGAAACCCTGTCTCAAAAACCAAACAAACAAACAAAAAACTGGAATAGTAAAATAGAAAGCAAAAGAAAAACAAACAAGCAAAAGCCCCTCTCCCTATTGCCACTATTCCTGAGCCATTACCTGATCTAAACTGAATTTTGATAGGCCTCCCGAAAAGTTTGATTCCATTGAGAAGATTCATGGCGTAAGGAACGGACACTTCGTGTTTGAAATTCACGAATGCAAACTGTTTCAGTTTGCCATCTTTATCTTTTGGGATTTTCACCTTTATTACTGGCCCAGCCTGCAAAGAAAAGTATTCGTAACTTAAACAAGGCAATTTCAGGAAAACATCTGAATTTCAGAAACAAATGAGAATGCAAGCCTGTCACGGTGGTACATGCCTGTATTGTCAGCAGTCAGGAGGTGCAGGCAGGAGGATCAGTTCAAAGTCAGCCTCGGAGTCCCAGGCTACCAAGGCTACAGAGACTGTCTCTCTGTCTCAAATACTATAAAGAAGAGAACACAAAGTTTTAAACAAAAGTATGTAATCAAGATCTCATTAAAAACAAGATGTCCTGACAAGGGCCAGCCATCTACTTCCCTTTTAGTAAGGATAACAATTCTAGTTCTGACTTAAGTCGAGATTGTTATTTATAATATTTAAAAGAACAGAAAGCATGATACTGTATCTACATCTCCCATGATTGTGTGACGTCTTACAAAGCAAAACAACAGCTGTCATTTCCTCGGGGCACGAAAAAGAACATTTACAAGACAAAGCGGATTTTCTTCGACTGAAAAAATTAACTTCCGCGTCGATCGATCAAATATAACCAGCTACTGAGTCATGAAGCAGGAAAGAACAGGATAGGCCGGGTTTTTCGGACTTAAGAAACACGCCAATGCTGCTTTCCTACTTTCCTACGTTAAGCTTATGGAGTTTTTAAAACACTTTAATGAGCCCGGCGGTGGTGGCGCACACCTTTAATCCCAGCACTGGGGAGGGCTGAGCCAGGAGAATCTCTGTGAGTTCAAAGCCAGCCTGGTCTACCAAGTGAGTTCCAGGGCAGGCTCCAAAGCTACACAGAGAAACCCTGTCTCGAAGAAGGAAAAAAAAAAAAAAACACTTTAATGTTTGCAATTTCATACGCAAGTTAAGCGGAAATAGAAAGAGAAAAAGCGGAAACGTGTGAGACGAAGCAAAGGCCATTTAACTCATAGGGAAGGCTAGGTACGCAGGACAGGGAAAGCAAGGCTGAGGTTCCGCCTCGGGTCCCTGGTCCTTCCCCGGGATGGAGACGCAGGCACCCACATCATCAGACGTCACTTTTGGCCCGAACGCCCCGGGGGTTCCGGCCCGGCGCGCTCCGCTTCTTAGCTGGGCCCTTGAATGCCCGCGCCGCCCTAGGGCCGTGCCCGCGCCTTACCTGGTGGAACAGCTCGAAGAGGAGCTCCTCCGTCACCTTCGTCTCCAGGTTGCCCACGAACAGAGTGCGGTCGGCCTCGGCGGCCGCCGCCCCCATTTCCGCGTCGCTTCCAGTCTCGGGCCTAGTCTGACTGCTCACAGCCAGGCGCCAGCCGACCGACCCTACTGCGCACTCTCGCGAAGACCCGCGTCCTCTCGTTCAGACGTCACGACGTAAACGCCCTTCGCGCGCGACCGCAGGCCGGCTACGCATGCGCGCGGGTTTCCGGCGGCTGCGTCTTCCGCCGTGGCACTGAACATGGCGACTGGGGCTGGTAACAGTTGCTCCCGACGCGGCCTGGAGTGACCTGCGGCGCTGCCGAGGGCCCGGTTTGGTCGACGATCGTCAAGCAAACACTGCGGGCGGTGTTTGAAGGATGGCCCAGAACTCGGTGTCGCTGTCGGCCGGCGATCAAGCCGACAGGGCGGCCCACCGGTCCTCCCAAGGCGATCTCAGCCCGTCGGCCGTGGCGTGGGCGATGGTCTCCGGAGACAGCTTCCTGGTTACTAGTGTTGAGCCGAATCAGCCAGGAGGACCCCGGCCGCCAGCGCGACCCAGCGTTCGCACCGACAGGCGCCGAATGCCCGTTGGTGGCCGCAGCCGGAGCCGCAGCCGCCAAGGCAGATTCTCGCCTTACCCGACCCCTGGCGTCAAGCTGGACCTCTTGAGAAGGGAGCTGCAGCAGCGTCTGGTTGCGTTGGGAAATGCCCTCGCAGCCCGGATCTCGACGTAGAACGAATGCCTCCCCTCACTCACTTAGCTTGCAAACAAGGCCTCTCTGAAACCGTGTGTTGGTGTAGCGGCAGTTTTATTTTTCCCTGATATCTTCACCGATGGGGGCGGTTAATATAGCCCTATCAAAGAAAAGTTTGGCCGAGCGTGCAAACAAGGCCTCCCTGAAACCATTTGTTGGTGTAGAAGCAGTTTTATTTTTACTGATATCTTCACTGATGTGGGCAGTTAATGTAACCCAATCTAAGAAAAAGTTTGGCCGGGCGTAGTGACACTCCTCTTTAATCTCAGAACTCGGGAGGCAGGCTCGAGTTCCAGGCCAGCCAATGTTACATAATTAGGGGGCATGTCTTAATATCGATCCATATGGGGCCAAAAAGAATGTAGGAGGGATTTTCTAAGTGACTGTGAATGTAGTCTCTTGTCCAGGCGTGCCGGGACATGCCATGTATTAAGGATGGTCTTGAAATCAGCCTGCCTACCTGCCTGTGCCTCCTAGGTGCTGAGATTTACAGGCGTGAGCCACACACCCGGCTTGAGTAACAGTTACTCAATACAGAATCCAGCAGTATCTGATTTCCACAAACCTCCCAGAGTGATTACTCTGAGGCTTGTAATTCAAGTGTTCTTAACTGCCTTCCTCTTTACTTCAGACTACCCTTGAATTCGTGTTGGTGAAAACAAATGTCCTTTATTACACTGTTTTATCCTTACATCTTCTCTCACCACCTCACATTACCCCCAGTCCCCAGCAATCCCCCCCCCCAACTCTGTTTTTTACTAATGTCTACAGACTCCCAGTTTGTTTCCCCAGGGTCGCACTCTGTAGCCCTGGCTGTTGTGGGACTGACAGACATGACTGCCTCTGCCTCCCAGGTGCTGGGATTAGAGCCATGCACCACCAGGCCTGGCCAGACTCCAATCTTAAACATGCTAAAAACAAGTACTATTCCAAGTTAAGTCAATGTGCATACTCTTCCAAAGACTTCAAATGAATTGTTATATGTGTCATGTCATTGACTCCACGTTTATTAGTGTGAGCCTGCTGTCACAAAATATGCTGGAGGGACTTAAGGCTCCATCAGAGTCACTTCTCATTTGGTCTGCTCACTATGATCACTTGAAATCTTTGTCTTTACTTTTTGAATCCTGGAACAGTTTTTATAACTTACTTGACAGGGCCTTCCTATGCTGCCCAGATTGGTCTAGAACTAGAAACCCTACCTAAGGGTCCCCAGTGATAGGTGTGTACCCAGCAGCAGGTGAACTTCACACATCCCTGCTTCAAGAGCCATGAATGCATTCTGAATGGAGAAGCTAATAGGTAATTGGCTACACTAGACTGTTCATTGCATATAGTAATGCCATTCGGTGTTGGTTGTGATGGCTTCCCGTGATAACTGTTATGGTTCTCTTAGGTGGCTGATCGTTTTTATACTGTTCCCCAAAGTAGTATTGGAAGTTTGTGGGAGTTTTGTGTTGTTTGTGGACCCTTGTCTACTCAGACTTACTTAAAATATTGAGATAAAGTAAAATCACCACATACTACACAGTGATTGTTACAGAACCACATGTTAAGATGAGGATTTCTATAGAGTGGTTAATATAGTGAGAAGAAATCATGCCAAAAGAAAGATGCTGACAGAATAAATAATATTAGCTACTTTTAATCGAGTGCATGGCATCGTGCTAGAGGCTGTTGATCAGTAGGTTGAGCTGATTGAATCACTCTGTGCATGCTTGATAATATTTCAGAAGATAATTTATAACAAACTATCCCAGATACCTAAAAGGAAGTTATCAGAGCTTTAATTGAAACTCATAGTTGAGGAAATTCCACATAATACTGTGGGTTTCAGCCTGGGGAGGGATAGTGAAATGAAGCTTGAAAAAATAGCGCAGTCCTAAAATGTAGAGCTATCTAATAGTGGAAAATGCCACCTCAAAAGGCAGTAAGTTAGCTGCTAGAGAATTCAGAAGAAGCTGAATCCTGATTTCATCAAATACTCTGAGTGCAAAATAGGGCTAAAGGGACTCAGTTCTTGCCCATTTAACACCTGATTCTGTACTAAAAAGACGTTCTGTTGAAGTTAGACATAGGGAAGTAGGGATTAAGAAATTTTATGATAAAAAAAGGTTAGTACCTTAGCAAACGAGGACACTGTAGAGCTTGAAAGAGGGTAATTAAAGACAATGGCAGGCCAAGCACTCATCACTCTGGAGGTGGTTGGGCATTAAATTGTTTCTGGAACATACCCTGAGGTTTGCAAATGAAGAAACAAAACCTGTCATGAAAACCTAAAAGTGCACTTGGGCAAGGAAGGGCTGAAGGGAGTTGACTTCATTTCTGTTCTGGTGTCTGTGGTCATCGGGAATCAGGTTCTGGATGAGTAATAGTGTTAACAAGGTTCATGATGTCTCCTTTGGAGGGAAGAGAGCCTTCACATAAACTCCATTATTTTACCTGAGCGTCAGTGGATGCCCAAATCCTTGTTCTTAGTATGTGCAGACGTGTCGAAGTTACAATGTATCACAAATACTATCCCATCCCGTGGAAGCAGGAACCGACATAAACCTTTGAAGTTACCCGAAATAGACAAGTAAGTGTTCCCAAGAACAGACCTTATCTTATGCTGCTTCCCAAAGTGAGTGTCCTGGCAGTGCTGCTAATGCACGTGCTGACCCTATAGCACGAGTTCAAAGAATAGGATTGGGAGTTAGAAAGTCTTTATAAGCACCTGGGGTTAGGCAGCTGGACAGCTTGTGTGGGCTCCTGTTAGCATGGTTTTTAAAATTCTAAAAACATTCAAGGTATTAAAAGGAGACCAGTGGAGCCACTGAAAGAAGGTAAAAGCTTGTGGAAAGCCTGAGCGACCTGAGTTCCATCCCTGGATACCACAATGAAAGGAGAGAGCCTGCTCTCTAAAGTTGTGCAAAATAAATCCAATTTTTTTTTTAAGGAGCCCAGTGAAGGGACTAGTAACAAAAGGAGACCAATGAGACTTTCCCTTAGTACTAGATGGTATTTACAAGAGTGATTGTAGAAGGGAAAGGGAGGGAAGGAAGAAAGGGAAATAATACAAGAAAGAGTGCTCCCTGAAGACCCCAGTGTCTTTCCAGCCGTCTCACACATTCAGTTCATTTATTCAGATCCCATTAAGATACATCTCTGGAGACGGGTGCTGGTGACCCACGCCTTTAATCCCAACACTCAGGAGGTAGAGGCAGGAAGATCTCTCTGAGTTTGAGACCAGTCTGGTCTACAGAGTGAGTTCCAGGAGAGCCAGGCCTACACAGAGAAACCCTGTCTTGAAAAATAAACAAATCTTTGGTCTTTCCAATTCTGTAAAAAACTGCCTTTTTCTTAGCCAACCAAATGCATAATGTTCAATATGGCTCCTCAATACCTGACCTTACTGGCTGTCCCCGTTCATTTGCAAGGTCTTTCTTCCTCAGCTAATCTCCATGATGTGTATTTGTTGTGATGGCTTCCCTTACCTGACTTGTACTTAGCTAGATCACACTCTCCCTCTTCCTCCCCTATCTTTTCACAGCTACTCAGTGCTTCTCCAAGTCTGTCCTCGAGTCCTTCACTAGAAATAAAAGCAACTACTTTGGAAGTGGTGCAAGGACACTGAATTTGGCCAGTGGTGCATGCTTTATGACCTTAGGCATTAGGCAGCCCAGTGTGTGACAGCATGTTAAAAGTTCCAATGGCTTCTTCGGAGGGGGGCGCCGCTTTTCTTCATTTGAAGCAGTGTTTGACAGCTTCTCTGTGCATTTAATTTTTGCATCCTCCCTCCCAGAGAGATCCTCTTCTGTAAGAACAACTGGAGATGGTGCTAAAGCTTGAACTTTCTCATAGATTGAAAATTATAGAGCAGGGAAGATTTTAATAAGTTTCCAGAGTGTTCTTAGGCAAATATTTGGTTGTCAAGGTACAGAAACCTGAGCTGTTCTGCACAGGATTGACCTATACCTGTCAATGTCCTGGTGGGTGGGTGGGAGAGGACAAACATGTCACTGCAGATCCCCTGACACAGGATGAAGACTGGTGTACTAATGACAGCGTCTCTTCATGTAGACAGATAAGTACAGTTGTTTCTTGGAAATACTATTTTTTTTTTAAAATAATGGTTTGGTTGGATTTCCCCCTGGAATATCTAAGGGCAGCCCTCCTTTAGTAGGCATATATAAATCATAGAAAAATATTTTGTCTTTGAGTTCCCAAACACTTCAGAGTCCCTGAAGCATGATGACTAAGAATTGCACAATCCAATATACACACTTGTGGCTTTCCGTGTTCATTTCTGCCTCATACCTAGTTTCCCTCATCTCCCTAATTTGTTCACCCTTTTTCTACCAATTAAGCTTAATCAAGACTCTGTACATTGTAAAAGCCCATTTTTAACCAGGCTAAACAGGAAAATATATGAATTTGCAGGGTTGGGAAAGTGTGTAGCAACTACCTCCCCTCCATTTTGCTTTTCCTTTGTCTTGGAGCCCAATCTTCATTCAGTTATTTGTCATGATGCTTCACAGCCAGCTCCAGGGACAGATATAATCTGTTCTGTTTCATCTAATGTAAGTTTCCTGGAGGCATTCAACATGCCTACGTTTGGGGGGGGGGTTGTTTTTTGTTTTTGTTTTTGTTTTGTTTTTGTTTTTTGTTTTGTTTTTTGTTTTTTTTTGTTGTTGTTGTTGTTGTTGTTTGGTTTGGTTTTTTGAGACAGGGTTTCTCTGTGTAGTTTTTGGTGCCTGTCCTGGGTCTGTCTCTATAGACGAGGCTGGCCTCGAACTCACAGAGATCTGCCCGGCTCTGCCTCCCCATGTGCTGGGATTAAAGGTGTGCACCACCACCAACATTTTTTATACCTATAAAATACGTTCAAGAGGAAATAGTGCTGGTCTAATGAATGAATAAATAAAACTTCATAGACAGGCTATTTTTTCTTAGAATCAAAACTGAAGAAGGAACATTCCAAGAAGGCAAGGGCAGTATTTTTTTTTAGTTTAGCATATGTGTGCAACACTCCATGGCAGCTGTGTAGAGGTCA